TCGACCTCAATAGGCTTGCAAGGTGGGCGGATAAAAACCTGATGGCATTCAATATGGAGAAATGCAAGGTGCTCCACCTTGGAGGGAAAAAACCCTGCATCAGATTTATAGGCTCAGCAGTGCTGCGCTTGCTAGCACCACAACCAAAGGGGACTTGGGGGTCATGACTGACCACAAGATGACTATAAACCACCAATGTGATACTACAGCTGGCAAAGGGGACATGGAGGGTGAGTCTCTGGGGCCTGCTTGGTGAGGAAAGGGAATCCCAAGTCCTCCAATCATCTTTTACCCCTTCAAAACCCCTGGACCAAATCATTACCAGATTGGTGAGGAAAGGGAATCCCAAGTCCTCCAATCATCTTTTCCCCTTTCAAAACCCCTGGGCTAGGTCATTGCCAGTTAGCCCGTCACAATCACATGTGAAAATATATGTTAACTTGTTTTATCGTGGTACATCTTGATTTATTGTGGCAAGTTAGATCACCTCCGACATGTTTTAGTTTTACCGTGGCCAATTCTTCCACCACGTTTCATTTTATTGGGAAACTTTCATTACATGTACAGGCAATCCTCGACTTACAATGTTTCGAGTTACAACGTTTTGCGCTTACAATGTTTATAAATTGATGCCCTGTTTCAACTTTTGATGTCAGTTTCGACTTACAACGCTTGATCCGATGCGACACCACGCCAGCGAATAAGTTCACTGTGTCGCTCATCTCCCTGGAGAATATCTGTCCAGACTTGCTTGGACACTTTCTTTAAGAAAGCAGACAAGACTCCAGAAAAACTTGCAGGCAAGACTCCTGAGAAGACTGCAGCCAAGAGCCCTTCAAAAAGTCCAACCAAGAGCCCTTCAAAAAGTCCAGCAAAGTCACCTTAGAGAAGTCCTTCCAAATCAATATGATTGCTATTTATGATATAAATACATTAATGTAGCTATATTACTCATCTATAATTGATCAAGTACAAAATTCTGAGGTATTTTTTGTGAAAATAGGGTATCAGGCCTTGGTTCAGGAACCAATCCCTGATTTATAACATTCTTTCTTATAAGAAAATTGGTTCCGAGTTACAATGTTTCAACTTAAGACACGGTTTTGGGGAACCAATTGTGTCCTAAGTCCGAGGACTGCCTGTATTCTCGCACACGGCTAGAATCGCCGTTTTCCCAGTTCTGCCCTCTAGGGTTTTTTACTGGTAATAACACATTAACCAATTATGAGCGTTAAACGCATTACACACAAAATAGTAACAGGGATCATCGTGGTACATTGTGAGAGGGAAATAAACCCAGAGAATATCTTTAGGTAGAAAAAGCCAACCATTATGTACAAGCGCCAAATGTGACCCCCTGAGGTCCCTCCTAACTCTTATATTCTATGATCCTATGAGTGTTATCACTCATTCAGCCCAGAAGAAGTCATCTGCAGGCTCCCTTAGAAGGCAGCACTCTCGCTGATGGTGAGGAGCGGGTGAACTCCCCTTTAGGCTCTCTTTATTCCCACCCATCTTTGGTCCGAGCTATGGAAATCCTTCAGCCAGCCTGCCTAGGGTGGCAGATCCCTATGAAATCAATGAGCTTTGTGAGACATGTGAATGTGCTGCATCTGCATGTGTGAATCTGAAATTACTTTCAGTTACTTTCTGTTGAATCTGCTAATACCAATGCATATATGGTTTTACCTCAAGCTTACAATCAATTCTGCGCTGATCATGCTTTCCTGCGCTTGTGGCTGGGGTAATTTATTTATGAGGCCCTGGGACAAACATACCAAGCTTCCTGAATGGTAGATGCCGAGGGAAAAACAGAGACTTGGGTCTGTTTGACTGACTATGGAAGAAACCGGGGATTCTAGTAACGGATCTGGAATGGGCATTGATAAGACCTTGGTATAAGTCTATTTTTTAACCAGCTGCTCAGAAGCGCTCAGCTGAGCTGGCTGGAAAATCTGGCTGCTGCTTTTTCTGTACTTGTCTCCCTAGAGAAATGATGGAGAGAGACCCTGGCCAAATATTCCGTTCACAAGGCCTTGGAATTGCTGAAATTTCAAACAATGACCTGCTCCATCCAGCTAGGGACAGGGGTCAGGGACCCGAAAATATCAGAACAAATGAAAGACTTTGCTTCTCTTATGAGAAAACTTACCCAGGCACGTCAGCATTTGTAGGGTAGAGCCTACTGGGCACATCTATACATGTGCTTTAATGTGTGTTAGCATATTTTATTGTGCATTTAGTGTCACAAAAAAAATATGCTTTTGCTAATGCACATTAAAATAGGCTAATATGCCTTTTCCTGGTACCTCACAATGGAGGTACTAAATTTAATGCACATTACCAAAAGCACATGAATGAACATGTAGATGCGCCTCCAGCGTGTTAACAAGCCCTGCTTGGGTCTTATCGGTGCCCCTTTTCCACTCATTTGCATCTGTCTCGTGTCATAAAACATTTTGGCGGCATTGGATTTGCCTTTTTTGCCATTTGACCCTCAGCCAGGAGAGTGGGTTGAATGATTTGTAGTGCCACAGTCAGTGTGCTGTGGTTATAGCATGCTCTTTCCATTTTAATGAGCAGTTGTAACTGCAGCAGATGGAAGTAAACCAGTCCCAAACCTTCTATTTTTATCTTTATTTTGATTAAGGAATAGATGATTATTGCAGTAAAACATGTGTGCGCTTCTATTTATAGAACTAGTCCTTAACACTCTGAAAGACAAGCAGTTATCCCCTCTCTAGATGGTGCTAGAACATCATTTGTGCCTCGGACTTCCTTCATTTCACCCTAAAACAGTGGTTTGCAACATTTTTAGACTGAAGGCACCTGTCCATAGAATGAAGCACCCCTCATTAGACTCAAGGTCCCCTTGGAAAATGCCAGCTATGACCTTTCACTCATTTCTTGATTACGAAAAAGTACTAAAACAACTCTTTCTGGTCCAGCTCAGAAAGGCCACAACAGCTCAGGGCGTTTCTGACCCTGTGGATTCATACTTGAAATCTTGGGCTTTATCTTGTGACCATGTGTAGGTGTTTGCACACCTAATAGTGCTAATGCTGTCTGGCTCCCTATGGCACCCTTAAAAGGATTTTATAGCACCCCAGGGCACTGCATGACTCTGGCTGAGAATCATGGCGCAAAAAGAACTGCTCGACCTGTTTATCTGCCACCCTTTATGCCAAAATGATGAATCAGGACCCCCCAAGCCCATGAGAGGGGCTTAAAAAGAATATATTTTAGATGAACTTTGTCATTTTCTTTCGGCGATGCTGAAGTCATATTCTGAACCTACTCTCTACAAACCCTCAGCTGAAGAAATGTCCTTTTTTCTTTTAAACAAAAGCTGAGGTTAACACAGGACTTGAGGTGCTGGGAGCCTGGAAATGATAAACTATCACAAGCCTCATGACAAAGGTGCAAGTGGTGCCAAATTCTTGGAATTATTTTTAGAGCTTTTTTTTTATAGGAACAATCATTTTTCAGATCCTTGGTATTACCACTGTAGGATGAAACCCAGCCTTGGGACCAGCTGATCCCCAGGAGGCTGAGAACTCTAAAGAAGAACTGGGAACTTCATTTAAATTTCATGTTTTCCTGTTGTTGTTAATCACAGAAAATTCAGGTTGGAAGGGACCTCAGGAGGTCACATCTAGTCCAACCCCCTGCTCAAGGCAGGACCAGCCCCAGATACATCATCCCAGCCAAGGCTTTGTCTAGCCAGGGCTTCAAAACCTGCAAGGATGGAGAATCCACCACCTCACTAGGTAATGCATTCCAGTGCTTCACGACCTTCCTGGTGAGAGAGTTTTTCCTTATAGCCAACCTCAGCTTCCCTTGCTGCAGCTTGAGCCCATTGCTCCTTGTTCTGTCATCTGCCCCCACTGAGAACAGCCCAGCTCCATCCTCTTTGCAGCCCCCCTGCAGGGAGGTGAAGGCTGCTATTCAATCCCCCTTGGTCTTCTCTTCTGCAGACTAAATCAGCCCAGTTCCCTCAGCCTCTCCTCACCAGTCCTGTCCCCCAGCCCCACAACCATTTTCGTGGCCCTCCACTGTACTCTCTCCAACTTGTCCACAACCTTTCACAAAAGAGGGGAAGAATCACTTCCTTCATTCTGCTGGCAACGCTCCTGCCAGTGCAGCCCAGGACGCCATTAGCCTTCTTGGCAACCAGGACACACTGCTGGCTCCTGTTCAGCTTTTTGTCCCCTGTCCCCCCCAGGTCCTTTTCTGCAGAGCTGCTGCCCAGCCCGTCACCCCCAGCCTGCACTGGTGCAGGGGATTGTTCCCTCCTAAGTGCAGGACTTTGCACTTGTCCTTGTTGAACCTCATGAGATTTTTTTTTTTAGCCCAGTCTTCCAATTTGTCTAATGATGATGACGATTCTGTTGGTATATTGTCTATAATGTAAGCAGGGTTTATTTAATCAACCCCCTCTTTTCCCCTCCAGGTAAATCCCTTTCGGGACAGAATTTGCAAAGTATTCTCCTGTGACGGCACCTTTTCCTTTGAAGATGTTCTAGGAATGGCCTCCATCTTTAGCGACAGAGCTTCTCCCCGTCTCAAGGCTGAATATGCCTTCTACATTTACGGTGAGACCACCCACACCCTCGGCTCTAGGACATTATAAGTCAGCAGGGAGAGACGACAGAGCCTGCCCCAGTGTGCATGGGAAGGGGAGGGTCTTACCAAGCTGGCACTGGGCAAATGAACGTTCTTTGATACGTGTTTCTTTATAATCTGTGTGTGTGAAGTCTACAACAGATTCACTCTACACGTTGGGAAAATAGGCCATGCTTGTCCAATGTGAGGAGTTATTCAGGAGCCTGAATGGAGGCATGTGAAAGAGTTTTCAGAAAGTTGTAAGTGTTTGTGTGTCAGAGATCTTATGCAGGCAGGCAGCGTGACCAGTCCCTTCCAAAAATCTCAGCCTACATGAATAAACATTGAGGTAGAATATGAACGATACAGCTCCACCAATCCCTAGCCTTCCAGTATCACAAGCCAGGCCCTCCAAATCAAGGGAGTAGCTTAAAAATCATGAGATTTTACGAAGTCATAAATGTGAGGTTCAAACCTTCTGTCTTTAAACCCTCTGGGTCTCCATTTTCCAGGTTTTCTCTCCAGATGGGATGGGCAAAAATGTTCCTTTTTGGTTTTGGTAATAAAATCAGAGACTTGTGATTTTCATGTGACTCCTAGAGCTAGGACCTTTAAAACCCCTGCAGAAAAAAACAACAAAAAACCCTATCCCAAGATGTGTGATAAAACAATAGGTGCTGGGTGATCAAAGGATATATAGAGTCCAAACCCTCCACCTGGTCCACCCTCCAGTGCTCATGCACTGATATACCATTAGTTTTTAAGCCTGTGTATGATGACTGGTAGGACTAAAACACTTGATCTTCAAAAAGAAATCTGCATCTTGTGTTGCTTTCAACCCAGAGCCCCTCTCTTCCTGTCTAAGGCTTCAGTCTGGGATGCAAGATTTTTATCTTAGGGGGAAGTTACATTTAGATCACATTAAGGGCACTTAAAACATAAGTGTCCACACATTAAAGCACATTGGTACATGCTAAGTGCCCTCTGAGCATCTGAAAGTGGCTCCATTTAAAACTAAGGGCACTTAAAACATGAGTGTCCACACATTAAAGCTCATTAGTGCATGCTAAGTGCCCTGCGAGTGTCTCAAAGGGACTCGACTTCAGGCGAGGGTTAGCTTTGGGCCTTGCTACCCAGCTTGTGTTAGGATAACTTTAGTCTGCTCCAGGGAAATTAAATGAGCAATTTATAGGCCTCTAGCATCCCAGGATGCACTGTTCCCAGCTCCCTCCCAGCGCTTGGGGTTTGTAGTCATGCCATTATGTATTTCTAGAGTGGCACCAGCATTGTGTGTAGCAGTCCATCACAGAGCCAAAAGGCATGAACTGCCTTCCCCTTTATACAGACTGTCTTCACAGGGAGTCTGCCCTACTTTGGGCAGGGCCCTGGTCCTCAACTTTTTTCAAGGGGGAGCCCCATGATTCAACTCCTCCAGGAATGGGTCCTTAGTTCAGTACCACTTGCTCACCATGGTCCAGTTAGGAGGTCCCCAAGAGCTTGATTCCTTGCTTTCTCAAAAGTTTTCCAACTGAAGAAGGACAAAACAGTGCCTCACATATTAGTCATCTCCACTGCAGTCATGGTAATGGTGCTTATCGTGTGAAAGGGGTCCGGCCCCTGTTTCTGCTTCAGCTCCCTTGGTTCTCACCTCAGCACTCAACCCTGACCTGGCTTCTCACCCCCGATAATTGCACTGATCCTGTTGGACAAGCACATGACTTACCACCTAAACTGTGCCATGCCATTGCTATGCATGATTGCTGGATTAAGATGGAAGTGTACAAAAGGCTTTTAAGTTAGCAAGGTGAAGCGAAGTCAAGGGGTACCCCTTGTGTTTGAAGGCAACTTCTTTCTTCCTGCCTACACATCCAGGGTTCAAAAAACCCACTGCACTGCCTGGCAGTATTCTTATTACTGTCTGTTAACACCTCATTTCTTTATCCAGATCCAGAGATTCTGGTTATACTTCTTTTTCTAGCTGGGTCAACAGCTGAGAGAGGTTAAAACCCAGTCATTGGTCTTCCATTGCATTTCCAAAGCAACTCCGTTGATATACTGATGGTTTTTGATGGACTGAAGCATTCAAAACTGGTGCATTAGTCTCTCTTCATTGCCTTCCTTCTATCCCATGAAAGAAATGACCTCTTCACAACATGGGAGTGGGAAGTGGGGAAAGGAAATTTTGCAGGTTTGTAAAAATAATACAGAAAACTTCTCACATTCTCTGTGTGCTTGGAAGTCAGGGCACCATTATTCTCTACAATGATCCAACAAATGTGAAAGGAATTTTGTTTCTTAGAGCAGTAAAAAATTAATTATTGATTAGACCCTGCACAGAATTATGACTGAGCTTAGCATCTGCTGCAAGAGTGCTATTGACTTGAATTTGAGAACTCGGAACAAGTGAACAACCCAATAAGAAGTGCTTGTAGAGTCTTTCAGTAAGATGGTGTGTTCTTATGACTTAGTCACTCACTAAAGTGATTATGCATAAACCAACCTCTCAGGAATGTACCAGCAGGTACGTCAGGGAGAGATGTGTAAAGCAATTGTTCTCAGTGGGGGCAGATGACAGAACAAGGAGCAATGGGCTCAAGTTGCAGCAAGGGAAGTTGAGGTTGGATATTAGGAAGAACTTTCTCATGAGAAGGGTAGTAAAGCACTGAAACAGGCTCCCTAGACAAGTTGTGGACTCTCCATCCTTGGAGGTTTTGAAGACCCGGGTAGACAAAGCCTTGTCTGGGATGATGTAGTTGGGGCTGGTCAAGGTTTGAGCAGGGAGTTGGACTAGATGTCACCTCCTGAGCTCCCTTCCAACCTGAATTGTCTACGATTCTATGAAGGCAAAGAGATTTGGTGAATGATGATGCTAACAAAGATTCTCTGTATAGTTAAAGACATAGACCAGTCCAGGTCCAATCCATTGGCTGCTTATACACGAGGGACTTTATTTTTAATAGGAATCTCATTCATTGTACTTGCAGAACTGAGCCCAGAGTTAGCCTAGCTTTGTATCAGTACAGAATTGTAGAGAGATGAGAGTTTAAAGTGGTTTTAAAAATGGGCTAAAGACACCAGGGCTTTTCCCTATACATCAATAGGACACTTTTGAAGTTCAGCTATGTTGTCCTCATTAGCCTGTTCATCAAACTGTCATAAATATGCATGATCTAGAGTGATGAAAGGATACATTTAAAAGGGCGGCTGAACGTCAGATGTCAGTGATAGAGAAACAGCCCTAAAAAAACTCCTGAAACTATCTTGGCATTTCCAAAGCAGTTGCTGCACAGAGTGTCTCATGGCCTAGCACAGATTTGCATTTCAAATGGGGGATTACAAACAGGACTGAGGTACTTCATAGCAATGCATGCTAAAAAGCCACTTGGCAAGGGAGCAAGGGAACTACAGAGGTCTGCTGGAAAAGAGGTCAGACCATGACAGTCTTCTCCCAGGGGCTGGGAGAATGGGCACATGAGCCATGTCCTCTCCTAAGGGGAGGGAGTTGGGCTCCTGCCCTCACCCATCCTCTTATTGTCAGGACAAGCATAGGCACAAGCTGTCAGATCTCATTTGTCCTGGCAGAAGAGAGGGGCTTGTATAGGAATCCAGCAGAATCTGCTGGCACCACTGGTGCCAGCCTCAGAGACAATTCAACTAATGCCACATGCCAGCCACACATTGCCGTGGTACGTGTTGCACTTCAAGCTTCTCAAACATTGATTGCTGTTAGTGTTAGCTCAAGTTTATAGTGACACCTTCAGGCAAAAAACCTTCTCTGACTGTCCCCGACCTGCACAGCTGTGACTAGAGAGCTGCTGAGCAGGGGCCTGGCTAGGAGCTACAGCTGAGAGCTATCCACACCCAACAGAATGTTGTGGGGGAGCGAACACTGCATCATGGGATGCTGGAGGACTGAAACTTGGGCAGCTTATCTCTGGGGAGTGGCCACGCATTTGTGGAACATGAGCTGAGTAATGTGGAGCAGAGATAAACCTGCCCTGGAGTGGTTTGACTGTAAGATGCCTAAAGGGTGCTTAAAACTAGTTTGCACATCTTAATGTGTGGATAATCCAGGGGTTAAGAGCTTCCAGAGCCACCTAAAATTATTGTGTAACAAAGCCCTTTCAGGATACTGCTAGGAGTGCTTGGTAGGTATCCGGGGGCAATACATGGATGTACCCCTGATGGCCACGTATACCAGACTTGCTTCTCAGATGGCATAAATCAGCCAAGCTCTGCTGGCTCTGAGGCCGTGCCTGTCTACCCACCTGCTTGGCTAATCTCACAGATTCCCAAAGGAGTCTTCTTTCCCAGCACCCCTGTGACATAGGAAGGGGATGTGTTCTCCACATCACAGATGGGGACCTCAAAACAGGGTAGATTAAGCAAGTCAGCCAAGGTCACACAGGGTAGAGAATACCATGTATGGTAGACTAAGGGCAGACAGGGTAGACTAAGCCACTCACCCAAGGTCACACAAGGTGGGTGGAGAATATCACACAGGATACACTAAGGGCAAACAGGGTAGACTATGCAACTCATCCAAGGACACACTTCCTGTGTTTGGGGCAGGAAGTGAACTTAAGGGGCTCAAGTCCAAGCCTGGTACCTACTGCAATACACCCACCTACCACCCATTGTATCTGCGGCTTCTGAGAAGTATGCATTCGATCCAGGAACGTCTGGCGTGAGCTCAGACTCAGATGTTTGCTTCCTGACCCATCTGTTTCTGAAAGAATTTGTCCATGTCACCAATTGTTGATCCATCCTAATTTTAGGTAGACCATTTCCTCTACCCTGACCTGCTCAGGCCCCTACAACTTCAGGCTAGCTCTGAGCTCCTAGGTTTGGTGATGCCCAGGGGTTCTGCTATGGAGAAAGGGGTAGGGAGCATAGCAAAGGGAACCAAACTCTTTCTGTGTGGGAGTGCTGCTTTGCACCCCCAATTCTCCCAGTTTTTTTGGTGGGTGTATCTCCCATGATGAATTGAGATTTTTTACTCCTCTAGGGAGCAGTGTATCCCGGGCGTCCCTGGCCACGGTGCATTGTAGAGAGTTTCTAATCAGCCCTAACGTGAAGCTCTACTACTGGCAGCGCTTTGGTGCAGGAACCATCTTTCTATTCTCTGTTTGCCCAGCATCAAGAATCGTGGGGCACAGGCTTATTGCAGAAACAAATACCAAACCGTCCCAAACCCAGCTTCCTTCCTCCACCTTCCCACATTTCTTCCCTGCAGACTTGAATGAGGATGGTTTCATTGACAAGGAAGACCTCCAAAGCATCATCCGGCGCCTGCTCAACACCGAATACCTGAAGAAAGAGGACCTCATTGCCCTGACAACCCGAGTACGTAGCCTCCCATTTACCCCTTTCCTTCGGGGTCCAGGCTGGTTTTTGCAGGACTGCCCATCCTGAAGATTGTAGCACAGGGTCTAGAGTTTTTCCCCTTTGGCTTCTGGCCTCATAACACATTTCAAGCAGGGTTACTCATGTCTAGAAAATAAACACAGCTGCTCTAATGCCAGTAGATCTTCCTCCCAAGCTTTTCACTCTTGGGTCTTGCAGATTCTGGGAGAGGCGGACCTGATCCAGGACAACATGCTATCCTTGGCTGAATTTGAGCATGCCATGTCTAAATCCCCCGACTTTCTACAGTAAGAGTGATTTTTATTATTATTCTTTGAGTTGCAATTGACTTGGGGATGTCTCAGGCTCCCACGGTGCTTGGAGTTGCAGGCAAGAGAACAGTGAGAAAGTTCACAATCCATGTTTATGATGGATAAATGGGAGGGTTGGAAAAAGACCAAGGTAGTGGTGAAACCAGGTCATTTCTGTGCAGGGAGCTATGGTTTTGGCTTGACACTCTCAGAAAGCATCAGTCTCTAAGCCAGGATTTCAGGGGGTCTTAGACCTTGGGCAGCTCTTATTCTGTAACATTTAGGAGGGATTTCTTCCCCTCTGGGAGCACATAATATGCTGAATCTGTGATGCTGATTGCTGCAGCTTGGCACCATAGGGTTTAAGCTGCAAAGAGGCTTTATAGAGTTAGGATAAAGAAGGGGTGCATTGATTATTAGTACACATGCATACCCAGCCAGAACTGTGCTGGGCATCTTCCAGAGTCACTAGGAAGAGTCCCTTTGAAGGCTGCATGTGCATATCCCATAAAGCCCTGCTTTATGATGTTTCTGGCAAAGCTCCACAGAAGCAGCTGGCCTGCTGCAGCCCCTGCCGGTCACAGCCGGGGTGGTTTCCCCCTGCCAGCTGCCCATCAGGATGATGTTTTGGGGCTCCACCATTCTGCAGCCATGTGCTTCCCTTGGTCTTAGGAGAGCTGTCCCCATCCTCAGCCCCTCTCCACACTTGCTGGTTCCAGGCTTTTGTGGTACCCCTTCGTGAAGTGATGACAGCGTCCTGGTCCTTCAGACCTAATGGAGAGGACCAGAAGGCTGTGTTCGGGGGGCTGTGGTATAAATGGGGCAGCCCTGGAGGAGGGGCAGATTACAATATGCAGAAGACCATTGCATGCGTCTCACACGCCGTGTGGCATTTAAACCCATGCCTCCATACAGAAACCAGTCAGGACCCCAGGGCCCTGGCTCCCAGCCCCTGAGATGCCCAAGCACACCCTTCCAGTGTCATGGGTCCTTTGGGATATCCGTTCCCCTCTTCGGGGAGGCGTGAGTGCAGGCAGACACACAAGTTCTGCAAGGCCCCTTACACTCCTTAATTGAATGAACTCAGGGTCATATGTAGCTGCAGATTATGCACTCAGCCCATATACCTTCTTCCAGGCCTCTGCTTCCTGAGTACTCCTTGGACTCAGGCCAGAGTCTTCAAAGGGGGGCAAGGGCCTACCTGCTCTCCTGTCCTCTGTGCCTGGCTTCTCCTTCCAAACAGGGAGCCTGTCTGCAACCAGCTGCTTCACACCCCTTGTCCTTCCATCCCTGCAGTGGGCAGTGAGGGACCCCCTGCTTTCTAACTCTTGGCCCTTTATGTCTAAGGGCTGCCTGGTCAGCCTCATCAGAGACCCCAGGCATGTGATGCCTTCCCTAGCATATGGACTTCAAAAATGGTTTGTCCTGGGCAGCAGCTGACCCAGTGTCCAGGACGGCTGCTGTGTGAATGGAGGATCACCAAGTTTTAATGACCCTCTGTTGTTAGCTCAGGCTCACACCCCACCCTAGGGAACTGCAGTCCAGTATGAAGCTAGGGGGACAGTGGTTGGACAGAGCTCTGCAGAGAGACAGACAGAAGAGCATCAGATAGTGCAGAAAGCAGAACAGCAGGGCAGGGAGCAGAAAGCAGAGATTACAATGGCACTCAAGGAGGGTGCAGAGGTAATATGTGGCCACTGCCTCAAATCATGACCCTGCTTTAAGATGCTTGGAGCATAGATACATCCCCCAACCCTGGTCTCAGGCTGCAGCGCAGCTCCTAGGTCATGCAAGTATGTGGCTCATGACCTGGCTTCTAACTATCCACCATCCTTCTCCAGTTCCTTTAGGATCCGCTTCTGACCTCGGGACCCTGGCAGAAGCTGCTTGTAGGGAACAGAGGCTGGCATCTCCAGAGACAAGCCCTTCATTGATCCCATGGCCTGACAGCGGGGGGCCTGGCAAGCTACTCCTTGTTTACCTTTGTGGTTCAGAATACAGATGGAAGCACCCAGTGTTGCTGTCTCTTGACCTGTGGTTTTGTTTCTATGTACGTCTGCTGTGAGGCTGAGCCCAGCGGGGCCATAAGTTCCCTGACAGGTGTGGGAGTGTGTTGTGGGGCAGCCAGTTCCACTGAAACAAGGCAAAATCTCTCCGACACATAGAGGAACGGGGATGTCTGCATCTTACCATGGAATAAAATTAAGGGTGAATTTACTCTGCACAGCCCCAGGCTCCCCTCCATCCAACCCCAGAGTGAAGTTACAGTGTTTCTCAAAGGATAACTTCACTCTGGATTTGCATGGTTTGCTACTTACGGGGGCTATGTAACACGTGTCTGCATCCCTTTTAATGCGATGCCAAGTCTATTGACTACACAGTTACACATCGTCCTCCCTCAGTTTCCCCTTCTGTGCAATGGACATCATAGCTCTGCCCCACCCCGAGGCTATGCATATTAAGGACTGCAAGGTGCCATCATGACAGAGGCCAGGTAGGGCTAGGATAAGCTGATTTTGGGCCTGTCTTTTGCACCTCAATTTGTCATTGTGGGAGACTGGGTGTGGGGTGGATTTGGGTTGTGTGCAGAGCCTGTCTGGAGGATAACAGGAGACTGTGCGGGGCAGACAGGGCATTGCTCCTGAGAGCAGCTGGATCTCTGCAAAATGAACTTCTGTGCTGCCAGGCCGTGGCTTGCATCCACAGTTCCATGCATTCTTCAGGCCAGACACCCCCAGGGTTTCCAGAGAGGGGAGAAAATCCAAGGCCCTGCTGCACTCTCAGGGCTTTATTTCCCACGGTCTCTCCCTCTGGGAATGTAACCTCCTCCAGAAGTCCAGCTGGCAGGGAAGGGATACCCCCCCGCATGCCTCAAGCTCTGAATTCGAAGAAGCTATCTCTGAGTTCCCTCTCCTGGCTGGTCACCCGCTTGCCCGAGGGGAAGGTCTGGTAGGTCCGCAGGTTCTCTGGAGACACGCGGAAGAGGTGCCACATGGTCTTGGCGTTCAGCGGTGGGCTGGTGAGGAGGAGAACAACAGGATGGGGTTACGGCAGCCATCCTTGAGCAGGGGGAAGGGGAGGACTGCTGCGGCAGCAGAGGAGCGGGCATGGATGGGCTGAGCTAGAGCATGAGCTGGCATGGCTGGAAACAGTGAATTACCATGTACACACGATAGATTTATGGCTTCGTCATTGCAAGTTGCAACAATGCAAACTGAACTACATTGGGATGTGGTTTATAAGAACTAATTTAAAAGCTGCAAATTCTGCGTATATGTAAAGAGTGCCACCATTAAGCCACACAAGGGGGGATTTTCATAACTTGTACATCGTCTCAGCATCATGTGTACAAATGCCCAGAGAGGTGGAGCTCTCCAGGGGTGCTCTGGGAGCATCAGGGTTGGGCACATGCTAAGGCCTGGGGCTGTGCCCCGTGGTTCTTGGCTACATTTGGGGTGGTGGGTGGGGGGAAGGTGATGCGTGCAGGTCTCTCAGGCCCTGTTACTGCCAATGCTGGCCTGGGGGAGCTACTTTATCCCCAGAAATGGTTCCATGTGATTCAATGAGTTTGCCTGGGTAGGGAGGGCTCTGAGAGAGCATAAGCTGAGATAAAGTCCCTGGCAAAGAGGGTGTCAGTCCCCCCTGTTTAGCCACCATCTTAGCTCCCTGAGGGGGGCCGTGCTTCATGCAGTATGTCCCTCTCCCCACTCAGTCCAACAATCACTTTGGATATCCCTGTGCATCTCTGATGCTGGGTCAGGCTAAGCCCTCCATGGAGAGAGGGGGCAGGCCATCCCATGTGGGCTCCTGAGGGCTGAGCACCATCACTACCAGTGCACAGGACCCCAGGCCCACACTGGTGTGGTGACTCCTGCGTTCCCACCTCACCCCACAGCCAAGCATCGACACATCCCCGATGAACACCAATGGCTCCATGGGGCAGGGAATGGGGCATTCCCCTGAGTACTAAACCTTATGGGTCCAGTAAGAGGTGGCCTGCAGCCTAAAGAGGCATGAGGGAGGAAAGCATCCGCACACCGGCTCTGCCTCAGCCTGGAAGTCACTGAGTGCCCCTCACCCATCTCAGGGCTTGTGAGGGGAAGAGCCAGGCAGGCAGGGGCTAACATTGAAGTATCCAGCTTCAACAGTGAAACCCATGACCCAGAGCTGGGCACAGTGAATGGGACTAGCAGGTGCCCCCGTGAAGGGGAGCTGCCGCATGCTGGTTGGCTGGAAGCACCAAAGAGAGGGAATGTCTTCAGCCCCTCTTGCCCAGGAATCCAGCACCAGGCTAGCTCAGCCCCACAGAAGAGTGGGGTTTAGGCACTCCTGACCCCATACACTGCCAAGGAGCCCCTGTGCCACCCTCAGGGCTTGGATCCTGCTTGGCAGGATGGGGACTCAAAGCTTAGTCTTTGCACCATCTAGCCACGAGGGGCCTGGGTCCCATTCTTGAATTTCACTGGGTGCATCTATATGTGATGCTTTAATGAGCATTAGCCTAAGTTAATGCGCATTAAGGGCACGTGTCTACACGTACGTGCCCTTAATGTGCATTAAAATTCAACTCTTTGTGCAAATTTAGGCACGAATAGTTAAAGTGCATTTACACATGTGTAGATGTGTTAAGGTGTATTAATGTGTGTGTGGACTGACTTGGGACTAACTTTAGTCCCAAGTCTGTCCCCACATGGCATGAATCTACTTTAATGCCCGCACCTGTAGACGCCTGCCTAAACCCACTTCATGGGCATTACGCTAATGCACATTAAATTTAGGCGTGTTTATATGCATGTGTAGACACGCCCATTGTGTCTCAAGAGGACCCACTGCCATGGGACACGTGCCTCTGCCTTGGGGCACCTAGCTGTTTCTGTGAAGACTCCTTTTTTTAGGGCCTTTCCCCCACTTTAGATGTGAAGTTTGCTGCAGGCTGAATCTTCCCAGGAAAGATCCCAGCTGCCAGCTGTGCTTCGCCGCATTTGGGAAACAGAAGAGAAGTAGCTCTGAGGCTTTTCTTTTAGAGCTTCCCAGGAGCAAAATTTGATGTGTGAGGCAAATGGGGCTTGAGGTGAAATTCAGTTCTGTGCTGGGGAGCAGGGAACGGACCGGGCACCAACAAACAGGGCTGGGATGAGGCCTGGAGGTGCCCAGGCCTTGCGCTGGGCCTCTGCAGAGAGGCAAAGTTCCTTCATTGCAAGAGCATTTGCTTGAGCTAATGGGGACACTGGGAGAACCACATTTTTCAAGTGGCCTGAGTGTAAATCCTGATCCCAGGGTTACAAGGTGCCTCGAGGGTTGGCCTAGCCCAGCTTCCCTGCACAAATGCAGGACTTGCTGTTCCTAACCCAGTACAGACACCCACTGCGGATCCATCCCATTGACTGCATCAGAAACAAGAGGGATGGGGGGCAGACGCACAATATGTGCTTCTTCGGCTCTATTTAGCGCTGGCGAGGCTTCATCTGGAGCACTGTGTCCAGTTTTGGGTCCCACTGTCCAAGAAGGATGTGGACAGTTTGGAAAGAGTCCAGCAGACAGCAAAATTGATGTCTAGGAAGTGAGACTTATGGGGAAAGGCTGAAAGATCTAGGGTTAGTTAGTCTGGAGATGACCAAGGTAGGTGTGATAACAGTTTTAAATACCTGGAAGGTGGTAATAGAAAGGGTGGACATGGGTTTTTCTCTGGCCATAAGGGACAGGACGAGGAGCAGTGGCCTCAAGCTTCAGTAGGGGAACTTGAACTTGGCGATTAGGAGGAGCTTTCTGACCAGGATGGTGGTCAAGCATTGGAAGAAGACACCTAGAGAAGTCTTGGGCTCTTTGTCCCTGGACATTTTCAAGAGCAGGTTGGACAGGCACTTTGCTGGGATGTTTTAGGCAAGAGCAGTCCTGTCTTGAGCAGGGTGCTGCATTAGATGACATGGTGAGGTCACACCAGCCTGACTTTCCTATGATCCTAATGTTTCTGCTTGAGGGTTACACCGCTTAGCTGTACCTGGGATGTAGAAAACCCAGCATCACCACTTTCAGTGTTGAAAATAGAGAGAGACTACAAGAAAAGAGCCTTACAAAAGACTCAAGGGCTGGAGAAAAGGCGATCCAGCTGCAGGCTCCAGAGCCCAGCCGGCATTATCAAAGGAAAACTGGCAGGCAAATTGGTCTCTGGCTACAATTAGCCTTGCAGGGAGAAGATCCTGACTCACTCATCTCCCCAGGAAGGGCATCACGAGACCAAAGAGCTGAATGCTGAAGCTGGACCTATTTATATTAGCCATAAAGAGCAAACAGTGATTAGCCTTTTGCCCCAAACCGCCGCAGGGGCAGCAAGCTGTCTCTCACCCTCATGTCTTTCTGAGACAGACACGTCATGCAGGAGTCAAGCACTGTGTCTTTGACTCAGTGAAGAGCTGACCAGGTGCCGTGCAAGAGTCAACGAAGATCAAAGGGTTCCTTGGGGCGCCCAGGTCTTTGCAGCAATTAGTGCTCTTCCTGAGCAAGAGGGAGATGCTCCTGCTTCTTGACGCTAGATGGGATGATGGTTGCAACCGTGTTGGTCTAAGCATATAGGCAGACAAGGTCCTTTGGGTAGATGTGATATCTTTTATTAGACCAACTAAATAGTTGACACTAGATGGCACCCACGCCCCTCTCTTTGCATCTCGTTAGTGCTGGGAGCCTGTAGCCTGCAAGGACTGATGCTCCAATCCAAACTGAAAGCACTGTCTACAGACTGGTTTGCGCAAAGTTTAAACAACCTCTCCAAACTGGTTGCTAATCCCTTTGGTCTGTTATTTAAGAAACCTTTTGAGACCGCAGTGCCTGGCAGCTGAAGGGTGCTCAGATCAGGCACTGCTGTCCATTGAACAATATCCTGAGATCACTAGGTTATTTCTATAAGGGATCATCAACTCAGAAAAGCAGGTGCAAATGCTGGGTTTTGTGTGTAGTGTACGGTTATTGCAGAAAAGCAGGTGCAAATGCTGGGTTTTGTGAATAGTGTACGGTTATTTAACACATAGGGTTATATAGGGTTTATCCCATCTATAATGGATGGGACAGAGGTTGTGTTTATTGCACACATGAAACTGTAAGCATTGCCAGCAGGTCAAGGGCAGTGATTCTTCCCCTCTGTTCAGCATTGGGGAGGCCACATCTGGAGTCCTGTGTCCAGCTGTGGGCCCCCGCTGCAGAAAGGATGTGGACACATTAGACAGAGTCCAGTGGAGGGCAATGAAAATGGTTGTGGGCTGGGGGACAGGACTGGTGAGGAGAGGCTGAGGGAAATGGGCTGATTGAGTCTGCAGAAGAGAAGACCGAGGGGGATTGAATAGCAGCCTTCACCTCCCTGCAGGGGGGCTGCAAAGAGGATGGAGCTGGGCTGTTCTCAGTGGGGGCAGATGACAGAACAAGGAGCAATGGGCTCAAGCTGCAGCAAGGGAAGTGGAGGTTGGATATTAGGAAAAAACTTTCTCACTAGGAGGATGGTAAAGCACTGGGACAGGTTACCCAGAGGTGGTGCAGTCTCCATCCTTGGAGGTGTTTAAGTCCTGGCTAGACAAAGCCTTGTCTGGGATGATGTAGTTGGGGCTGGTCCTGCTTTGAGCAGGGGGTTGGATTAGATGTGACCTCCTGAGCTCCTTTCAACACTCATTTTTTTCTGATTCTATAACTCTGCCCTTCGCCACTTAGGTGCTACAAAACATTAGTTAGATTTGTAAGCAAGCCATCCTTTTTTACACAGAAGTCCTGCATCTTTCAGTGCCAAGGTGGGATAGTAAATAAGGTAGGATCACACAGGGAGCACTGCTGGAATTCAAAGAGCAAAAGCTGGATTCACTTATGTAATAGTGAATAGTGTTTGAATGAAGGATCCTACAGGGGGAAAAAAAGCACATGGTTGTAACGATGTGTTCACTTGCACTATGGGCTGAACATGGTCTGTGCCATGGTAAACATAGGGCACAACACCGGCACTCAAGCCGCGTGGGCGCCTGTTTGTTGATGTGTGGGTTC